TTGGCTCCCCTGTATATTCTTTGCTGGTGTGATCACCATGGGAAACATCGGACGGCAGCTCGCCTTGGTAAGAAACTGGAATCATGTTGTAAGGTTTTATCTAGAGGTTGGGAATGAGGTCTGATCAGTAGACGGTTTCTCACACTAGATCCGATGCTGCTTCTTACTTTGGTTTTCACGACTGTGTTCAAGCACCATGACCCAAACATTGCATCAACACAACTGCTAACAGTTATGTGCACCTTGGTTTCATTCACAAATATGAACTGACTCGTGTTTATGTCTGCACAAAAGTGTGATTCTGAACGTAGGAGATGTTCACCATCTCTGGAAGGCTTCAACTGTAGATTGCTGTAAAGACTCTGTCTCTAGTCAGTGACTCGATGCAACCTGCTGGGTTCCTTATATAGGAAACCTTTTACTGATTGGCTTCATGACCTGACCTGTATTGGAATGTTTACTGTGTGAAGGTCCTTGAGACGACTCTTGTCGTGATTTGGAGCTTTATAAATAAAGTGAATTTAACCGACACTGCTAATCGTTTTCTTTACTGGAGATGATCACAGCTAAATCGAGTGTTGCTGAAACTGGAATCATCGGGTCTGCATCATTTATGTGTTTGTGTCACATTCAAGGCCGGCTGGGGAAAAGAGCTGTGAAGAGCGTCTAAATCCTGAAATATAGTTTCTTTATGAACGAACAGCAACGGCTGGGATTCCTACCTTTTAACCGTTGTTGTTTCCCCCCTTTGCAGTATGAACACAGTTTTCTCCAACAGAAGACACATCAAGACTGAGGGATGTCTTGACCATCTCAGGCCTCTGTGATGTCATGTATGCATCATTTCTCAGGCTGTTCAGACGCAGAGGCAGCATCACTCGGGTCGTGTCAAACAAGCAGCAGAACTCCAGATGGACTGCCCCCCCTCACCAGTGAAGACCGTGCTTTACTCGGCTCGTCTGGCGCCTTTGAAAGAGATCTCAGCCATTTTTCTGACTATCTGCTCTCTGCTGAGATGGTTTATGACAGAATGTTGTTCTCTCTCTTATGTGCTGCAATTTATTGTTCATGTAACTGAAAAGGGAGTAGCTCCAAAGCAGATCTCCCACAAATCAGAACCTTTTGCTCCGCTGTGCCAAAGTCGGCAGGAATCAGTTTTTAGGTCAGTGCTCGTCTTGTTGTATCATCAGCCAGGTGCTCTAACATTTGAAAAACATGAAAACGTCAGTTTTCAGTTGACGCCACCCTCCTCTAGCTCTTTTGAGGTGTTGCTAAGAGCGGTGATGAGTCGTGTTTGTGTTCAGGAGCGTGGCTTTAAGCCGAAACCTGCAGCCACTTGAGACAGTCTAACTTTATTATAGGTTTTGTGGACACAAGGTACGTCATTCATGCAGGAAGACTTTCTAATAATATTTTACACACAGATTCACAAATATGCCCTCTGCCAAAAACACACCTTTTTGCCTTCAGGCAAACTATTCTAGCTACTTTTCTCCTGGTAGGTCGAGTAAAACGTGAACGTTGATGCATCATGTAGGGTACTCGACGTGGAAAAAAGACATCAGACATCTTTTATGTAAAAATGGGTACCGTTGTCCATAGAGACGAACCCTTTAGCATACGCTGCACACAACTTAATGGACACTTGCCATTTTGTTTTGTGCTTACAGCAGTGGGAAGTATTTCAATCTGTCAGGGAAAAAGCCAGAGGCTGGTGTCTCCAAACATCTAATGCACGAAGCTGAATCATTCCATCACAGACCTGCTCTGAGGCTATGGCAGGTGCTTTCATATTTACTGTGTAAAACAGTGTTAATGTTGCAAAAACGTGTGTGTGTGTTTTATCAGACCGTCGAGTGGGATGTGATTTGATGAACAACGGAATGCGTGCACAGAGAAGAGCTTTTATCACGAGCACATCTGTATACGCGGTTACTATTGAAGAGACCATAGTAATACATTGTGGTGAAAAGTAATTGAGTATGGGTAGAGTTACAACATACAAGACACAGTATTTTATATGCTTTGCAACATTGGAGAAACCTTTCTGACGTGTTTTCTTGTGACTGAAACCTTTTGTCATAAAATGGCGTTGTGATGAAACGAAGTGTGAATAAATATTTCTACTCAGGAATGTAGAACAAACGACTCTATGATGTCTCTTTCTGCCTGATGCAGATTAACGGGTACCGCTTTTGACTTTTTGTGTGAGCTGTAAAACTTCTGTGGTTGATGTAGAACGTGTGAAAGCCCGAAGCCAAACACCGACCAAAGGGATGGGTGTGTGTTTGGAGTCTTAATGGAGGCAGTAGAGACCCACATGGCAGCAATAAAGGTGAGTTTGTGTTGAAGTAAACTTATAGTTGCACAGTAAGAACAACCAGTCTGTAATTACAACACTTTCCAGGAGAAGTGCTTCACAGAAAGGATCAAATGGACATAAAACAGACACTTCAGCCCAAATCTAGTTAAAAGCCTCTAAATACATATTCAGCTGCATTTTAAAGACAATGTAAATGGTGACTGTGGACTCAACACATACAGCATTACTGGTTAGACAAAACTCTGAGCCATTTGTGCTCCTATTTACAGCTGTGGTGAGTTCTGGGAGTTTCCATAGAACCAAAGTCTGGCATCCGAGTACTCCTCCCAGAGGATGTCCAGGAGTGGAGAGTTGCTAATGTAGATTAATGTGTCGTCTTCCTCACAAGGCTGCAAGCTCTCACTTAAATAATAAACCGCTTCCATTTGGGTTGTTGCCACGTTCCAGGATGAAGACTAGTTTACAAGCAAATGTGCTGTGAGGATGTGATTGTTCAAGGCTAAGTAGCTAGTAAAACAATAGGCGTGATGTGTCATAGCAGTCAGTGCTGTTTTGAACAGCTAAACTTCCCACCACTAATGAATTCATTAATCTTTCTATTTATCCCTGACAAGTAATTATCCACTCTCACAGAAGGGGAGTCAGGAGGCAAGGTTGAGCGCTGCCTGTTTACTCACTTTCCATCTTTCTTTACTTTTTCAGCGGTAGCGGGGAAGAGGGTGGGGAAAGGCTTTTAATAACTCGGCATCATGATTCAGGCAGTTTGGGAGATTCCAGCTGTCCTTGGGATAGGAGCAGGATTTGTAGGGATGTATTTTCAACATCAGATGCTTGAGGACGCTAGTGGGTGCATGGACGTAATTTTCACTTTAGAAATGGGGGGGACACGGGGGGGGGGGGTCTTTACAGGGCTGCATGGTGGCACAGTGGTTAGCACTGTTGCCTCGCAGCGTGAAGGTTGCAGGTTCGAAACTTGGCTGCGGCCTTTCTGCGTGGAGTTGCGTGTTCTCCCCGTGCATGCGTGGGTTTCCTCCGGGTACTCCGGTTTCCCCCACAGATCACAACATGCCCTATAGGTTATAAATTGTAAGTCGCTTTGGATAAAAGCGTCTGCTAAATAAATAAACATAAACAGTATGTTCTAATGGGAAACAGGCTTCAACACAAACGGTTGTTTTCTGCTTGGTCCTAGAACTCAACCAGTGTCAATTTAATATAGCGTAATATTGTTTAAGGATGATAAAAAGTGCAGGGGTCAAAACTTGACTTTGGAAAGGGGGGGGGGGGGGGGGGACATGTCCCCCCTGTCCCCCCAAAAAATTACGTCCATGAGTGGGTGTGCAAAATCAGTTTTTGTGTTCATCCTTTGCAGACTTTGCGCTCTCCTTTGTGTGTATGTGCAGCATATTTTACACATGCAGCGAGTCCCAAAAGCTTTAAAAGGTGAAAGCGTGCAGTAACTATCTGTTCTGTGATAGACCACGGTGCTCTGTCTCAGGGACGACCATCTAAACTGGGGTAGAAGCTTGTTAAATGGTATCAACATGAATTACTGCCCTGGGCATCCATCACTGCTTAACGGGTCACCACAATGATCTGTGGACCACTAGGTATTGATTACTCGTGTGCTGTAGGTGTCAGCTTTAATGTCGCAGCGGCTTGATAGTGTCGCCGCTGACAGCCCCGCTTTTAACTCTCCTCTGATGGATTTTAATAGTGAAATATTGATTTCTTATTGGCCAAGGTCTACTGGCAAGGGCCAGATCATTTGTTGGAGTAATGCCGGACACCCTGTGCCCTACTTCCAATCACTCATGTTCACATGTAGAAGCACAGGAAAAAGGCGAGGATGAATAAGATCTTGTAAAGCTGCGCTGGATAAGTCCACAATCAAGGCATAACCAGACAATGCAGATTTTCCTTGAGGCTGCACGGATACTGGCCTGAACGTGAACACTGCTGGGTGGGAATGCTTCACTGCTGCGTGTCTTAAGCATGGAATGAGGATCTTGGATAGAGGGTCTATATTTAATTTAAGCTTCCCTAGACTGAGACTTGGGAGAGACATTCAGGTAATGTGTTGTGTTACAACTCAGTAGTTGTTCCCCCCAGCCGGAGCGATAACAGGCTTGCTAATGGGAAGCCATCAATCACAATCAGCCTGCTATTTTACCATTGTCTCCCTCTCCCGGCTCTGAGGTAGCAGTAATAGAGGTGGTGATGGAGTTTTCTCTGCAGCAGCTTCAGCAGCAGTAGTAACACATCTCACAGCCATATTTCCAGTCAGTAATAGATGATTTGCCCTGTCAGTGCATTTTTAAGAAGACCATAATGTCCACACGAGCCAGTTGTCTGTGGAAGACCTTGGACTGGAAGAGGAAAGGGCAATGCAAAGCTGGTCCCGTGTGCCTAAAACAGCTAACTGGTTTTAAATATCCAAGTGATTCGAGCATTACCGGTTGATCTATGTCCCTACCCTCATATGGTCACAAGCTTTAAGTAGTGACTGAAAGAACGAGATCATGGATTCAAGCAGCTGAAATGAGGTTTCTCTGCAGGGTGCTTGGGCTCTCCCTCAGAGATGGGGTGAGAAGCTCAGTCATCCGGGAGGGACTCGGAGTAGATCCGCTGCTCCTCCACATGGAGAGGAGCCAGTTGAGGTGGCTCAGACATCTGGTTAGGATGCCTCCCTGATGAGGTTTTTCAGACATGTCCAACCAGGAGTAGACCCAGGGCAAGACCCGTGACACACTGGAGGATAGGGCTGCTCAATTAATCAAATTTTAATCCCAATTACGATCTGAGTTTCGAACGATTAATTAAACAACACGAGCCGATTATTTCCTCCTCCCTCTTGCGCTGCTCCAAGTTGCAAATCAAGCGCTCCTCACATATTGTTGCCAATTTAGCAAATTAGTTGCTATTTCTAACGTCTTTTCAGACCCCCTTCTTGACTTTTTAAAATGTAAAAGTACCTAGCGAACACTGTAGAAGCATCTCTGGTAACCCTTAGCTACTTTCTGGAAAACTTTCGTCGACATTTCTTGCAGATTAGCAAAACACTCCACCTGCGCTTTGGACCGTCTTTCCAGACATTAGGAAAGGGAACGATGTGATGTGTTGGTTGCAAAAAAAAAAAAAAAAAAAACACGCTCTCAGAGCTGGCTTCCTCTTGGATTAACCAGAGTGAGTGACTCAAATGATGCCTAGGCTATATAATCAGCATGGAGAAACCTAGTTCTCCACCAATATACACATAGAAATATTTGACCATTTGTTTTCATCATAGTGCTATTAAAATTTAATGTAATTAAATTAAATGCTGTTTAATTGTTTCTATTATTCAGTCTGAATATTGTTTCATACTTTAACATGTACCGTATAGCACTTTTGTTCAGTGTCCTGCTGTTTTTGAAATTTTTTTTGACTGATATGTCATATTGATGAAAGAAAAAATTATAAAAGTAACATTGATTACTACTGTATATGTTCAACAAATAAAGATTATTTAAAAACATAAAGGAGACAGGTTTTCTTGCAAAACTTTATTGAACTCCTTTACAAATAAAAAGCAACACATGGTCTTTGAAAAAACCTTGTCAAGCATATATTTCAGAAACCATTGCAGTACAAACGTCAATTTTACCTGCACAAATCAGCACAAATGAAACACTAAAAAAAGTAGAATATTATGGTCCCTTTTGGAGCAGTCTGGGGGGACGGTGAACTCTGAATGACCTATAAAATAAAGTTTAATATCTCAAAAACCATAGCTGCACAAACGTCAGTTTTACCTGCACACATCAGCACAAACGAAGCACTAACCGAGCAGCCTATTTGCCTGCACTTTTGAAGCTGATGGGGGTCAGCTTCACAGAGCTTGTGAGACAGGGTTTTTTGTGTGTGTGTGTGTGTGTGTGGGGGGGGGGGGGCGCAACTCCGATTGCTGTGGCTGGGACAATCATTACATTAACTGATGGGACCTGTAAATAAATAGTTTAGAAATAGATAGAAATAAGTTTCTCACGCCGATAAATATGAATTAATCCCTCTGAGGACACATTGCTAGTGTCCCCCCCCCATACAGCACCACTTGACAGGACTAAATAAATATTATGCAACATTTTGTGGCCGTCACTAAAACACCTGTTTAAATGTTTTTTATTTATGTTTTAAATGCCACTGTATAATTCAGTATTTGCAAGATATTGGTTGGATATTTGGGTCTGTATTGGTTAGGCTTAAATGAGTTAAACCTCATAAAATTGACCACAATGATTAGTACTGTCAATAGTATTGTACTTGACATAGTAGATAAAAAACAAATACGAAACATAGTCAAAAATTGTGGAAACAAACGATCAACCGATTATCAGGACCTGGATATGATGACTGTTAAAACCATCATAGAATCTGTCATTGAACCATTCACTTACATTTGTAATCTATCACTTTCTACTGGAAATTTTCCTGACTCAATAAAAACAGCAAAATTCATTCCTTTGTACAAGAGTGGTGATAAACATAGTTTCAATAATTACAGGCCGGTGTCACTGCTTCCACAGTTTTCTAAAATATTGGAAAAAGTATTTGTATCAAGGTTGGATAAAATCATTGAAAATAATAATATTTTAAACAATGAACAGCATTGGTTTAGAACTAAACATTCCACAGCAATGGCAATAGTGGAATTAACAGATAAAATATCAACAGCAATTGACAATAAAAATGACTTCATTAGTTTTTCATTGATTTGAAAAAAGCATTTGATGTCATTGATCACTCAAGGTTACTTCGAAAATTAAGTCAGTATGGAATAAGAGGT